AGACAGCTAACCCATGGGCATATATTCTGTATATTTCCTTCTTTCTCTGGGTAAGAAAATAAATATATCGGCTGCTTACTTTCAAAGTTTAAATAAAGACTGATATGGATGATCAACAGCTGATAGGTCAAAGTCATCGCGACTGGCAGTAGCTCAAGAGCCTTGGCTGATATTTCACAAGTAACCACTTTAGAGAAACGCCGTGCACCAGATGTGATCCAATTTTTCCCAGTGATTTCAAACTGTGCTCACAGACTGAAGTGGAAAGGGAAACGGTGTGGCTCTTAAACCTCGCTTCCCTTGCTCTTTCTATCCTTGATCCTTCCCTATTTGTCATACTCATCTTCTCAGCGATTTGTCAGCTCCCAACCTCTGCTACTTGGCTCTATGTGCTAATACAGTCAAGTGCACTTTGCTACAAGATCCAATTCAGAAAGCTTGTCAAATGCACTTTGCTGCTTCAGTCAAGTACAGAGTGGAATAGAGTATCCACCCTCTACAAACGCTTCCATTTACAACAGAGGGCCATCAGTGCTCATGGCAGTTCAGATGATGTTCTACTTCCCCATATAATAAACACGCTTTCTAGGGGGCAATCTCAGCCCTGAATAACAATGACAGGTTGGGAGGCTTGGTGGTATGTTTGTGTGAAAAGCAGGAACCCGGGAAGGTTGTTTGCCTTGCCAAGACTTCTTACACGTGCAGCCACGGCATGTGCATGTGATTGTGATTAGTGGATTAAATGTGCTGAAAGTGGAGATCAACAAAACAGCACTTGGAAATATGGCTCTTGTGAGACTCTGAGCACCAGCAGAACCTGCTTCATAGAATCATAGAATCTTAGGGTTGGAAGAGACCTCACGAGGTCATCTAGTCCAATCCCCTGCTCAAAGCAGGACCAACACCAACTAAATCATCCCAGCCAGGGCTTTGTCAAGCTGGGCCTTAGAAACCTCTAAGGATGGAGATTCCACCATCTGCTTAGGTAACCCATTCCAGTGCTTCACTACCCTCCTAGTGAAATAGTGTTTCCTAATATCCAATCTAGACCTCTCCCACTGCAACTTGAGACCATTGCTTCTTGTTCTGTCATCTGCCATCACTGAGAACAGCCTAACTCCATCCTCTTTGGAACCCCCCTTCAGGTAGTTGAAGGCTGCTATCAAATCCCCCCTCATTCTTCTCTTCTGCAGACTAAATAACCCCTCAGCCTCTCCTTGTAAGTCATGTGCCCCGGCCCCCTGATCATTTTCATTGCCATCTGCTGGACTCTCTCCCATTTGTCCACATCCCTTCTGTAGTGGGGGGACCAAAACCGGATGCAATACTCCAGTGCCGAACAGAGAGGAATAATCACTTCCCTCAATCTGCTGGCAATGCTCCTACTAATACAGCCCAATATGCCATCAGCATTCTTGGCAACAAGGGCACACTGGTGACTCATATCCAGCTTCTCGTCCACTATAATCCCCAGGTCCGTCTCTGTAGAACTGCTGCTTAGCCAGTCGGTCCCCAGCCTGTAGCGGTGCATGGGATTCCTCCTTCCTAAGTGCAGAACTCTGCACTTGTCCTTGTTGAACCATATCAGATTTCTTTTGGCCCATTCCTCCAATTTGTCTAGGTCACTCTGGACCCTATCCCTACCCTCCAGCGTATCTACCTCTCCCCCCAGCTTAGTGTAATCTGCGAACTTGCTGAGGGCGAAATTCATCCTATCATCCAGATCATTAATAAAGATGTTGAACAAAACCGGCCCCAGGACCGACCCCTGGGGCACTTCGCTTGATACTGGCTGCCAACTAGACATCGAGCTGTTGATCACTACCCGTTGAGCCCGACAATCTAGCCAGCTTTCTATCCACCTTATAGTCCATTCATCCAATCCATACTTCTTTAACTTGCTGGCAAGAATACTGTGGGAGACTGTAGTGGGGTGGACACCCGCTCCTGCCCTGAGGGGTTGGAAAAGCCCTGCAGACAGCTGGGGCTGGGCAAGGTAAAACCCTGGCTGATTGGGGGAAGTTGCTGCAGCTGCGCCACACCCTAATCAGAGCCCAGATGGCCGGTATAAAGAGGCTGGGAGCCAGGAGCCCAACAGTCTCTCTCTGCCTTCAGAGAGAGAAGGGCCTGGCTGCTGGGAAGCTCAGGGTGCCTAGAGTGAGGCGGGGCTGGGGAGCTCCAGGCTGGCAACTCCCCAGGCTGCAGGGCCTTGTCCGAGGCACTGGGTTCCAGAGAGAGGGGCAGCAGGTCCAAACCCAACCTTGCCGATGATGAGTGGCCTATACTGCAGTCTGCCCCAGAGAGTGGGGGGCTAGTTGGGGACTGGCAGTGGCCTTATCCTGAGGTGAGGTGGGGTTAGTGGGTAGAGGGTCCCCTGGGAGGGGAGACCTAGTGTGTGTGTGTGGGTATTGCCGAGGGGGCAGCACCCAGGGCAAGGGGCACCAGGGTCCTGGGAGGGACACAGGGGCCAGAGAAGAGGACAAGGCGGATCACCGGCCTGCAGAGGGCGCTCCAGGGGCTGGTGAGCTAATTCCCTGGACGACCAGCAGGAGGCGCCGCAGGGGTGAGTCTGTTCCTCCACAGAGACCATATCAAAAGCTTTGCTAAAGTCAAGACATATCACATCCACTGCTTTCCCCATATCCACAGAGCCAGTTATCTCATCACAGAAGGCAATCAGGTTGTTCAGGCATGACTTGCCCTTGGTGAATCCATATTGACTGTTCCTGATCACCTTCCTCTCCTCCAAGTGCTTCAAAATGGATTCCTTGAGGACCTGCTCCATGATTTTGCTGGGAACTGAGGTGAGGCTGACCGATCTGTAGTTCCCCGGTTCTCCTTCTTCCCTTTTTTAAATATGGGCGCTATATTTGCCTTTTTCCAATTGTCCAGGACCTCCCCCGATCACCACGAATTTTCAAAGATAATGGCCAATGGCTCTGCAATCACATCAGCCAACTCCCTCCGCACCCTTGGATGCATTAGATCTGTAACCATGGACTTGTGCATGTCCAGGTTTTCTAAATAGTCCTTAACCTGTTCTTTCACCACTGAGGGCTGCCCAACTCCTCCCCATACTGTGTTGCCCAGTGCTGCAGTCTGGGAGCTGACCTTGTCTGTGAAGATCAAGGCAAAAAAAGCATTGAGTACTTCAGCTTTTTCCGCATCATGTGTCACTAGGATGCCTCCTCCATTCAGTAAGGGTCCCACACTTTCCCTGACCTTTTTCTTGTTGCTAACATACCTGTAAAAACCCTTCTTGTTACCCTTCACATTCTTGGCTAGCTCCCTTATTTCCCCATATAATAAACACACTTTCTAGCGGGCAATCTCAGGGCTGGTCTACACTGGGTGTGGGGGTCGATTCAAGATACACAACTTCAGCTACGTGAATAGCGTAGCTGAAGTCGAAGTATCTTGGATCGAATTACCTGGGGTCCAGACGGCGCAGGATCAATGGCCGCGGCTCCCCCGTTGACTGCGCTACCGCCGCTTGCTCTGGTGGAGTTCCGGAGTCGATGGTGAGTGCGTTCGGGTATCGATATATCGCGTCTTAACGAGATGCGATATATCGATCCTGGATAAATCGATTGCTACCCGCCGATACGGCGGGTAGTGAAGACATACCCTCAGCCCTGAATAACAATGACAGGTTGGGAGGCTTGGTGGTATGTTTGTGTGAAAAGCAGGAATCCAGGAAGGTTGTTTGCTTTGCCAAGACTTCTTACACGTGCAGCCGCGGCATGTGCTTGTGATTAGTAGATTAAATGTGCTGAAAGTGGAGATCAATAAAACAGCACTTGGAAATACGGCTCTTGTGAGACTCTGAGCACCAGCAGAACCTGCTTCACAGGATGATTGCCATGTAACAACTGTGACAGGGTCAGGCCAGATGGCTACAGAAGAGTGATAGAAGGCAGATCTATTAGTCCCAGATTAAGTAGATCCCTTTCCTCTGGGTAAGGTAACGGGGCAGTTCCAGAACAAACAGGAATTTGCTGGAACCAGTTAAGGCAGGCAGGATAATTAGGACACCTGGAGCCAATTAAGAAGAAGCTGCTAGAATCAATTAGGACAGACTGGCTAATCAGAACACCTGGTATAAAAAGGCTCTCACTCCAGTTAGTGAGGTGTGTGTAAGGAGCTGGGAGTGAGAGGATGTGCTGCTGGAGGACTGAGGAGTACAAGCATTAACAGATATCAGGAGGAAGGACCTGTGGTGAGGATAAAGAAGGTGTTGGGAGGAGGCCATGGGGAAGTAGCCCAGGGAGTTGTAGCTGTTGTGCAGCTGTTCCAGGAGGCACTCTAGACAGCTGCAGTCCACAGGGCCCTGGGCTGGAACCTGGAGTAGAGGGCGGGCCCGGGTTCCCCCCAAACCTCCCAATTGACCTGGACTGTGGGTTCTTCCAGAGGGGAAGGTCTCTGGGCTATTCCCCAACCCACATGGTGAATCTCTGAGGCAAGCAAATCCGCCAATAAGCGCAGGACCCACCAAGATAGAGGAGGAACTTTGTCACACAACCCTACCCCATAAATACAACCTAATAAGCCAAATGTTTCCATTTCTTAGTGTTTCCTATGGCTGTCGAGCGGTTGTCTCCTGGGTCAAGTATAAAGCAGCCCACAAACTTGCAGTCCATAGCTTAGGTCAGTGAGAATATGAAAACCCCCTTGGATACAGCGGTTGAGGCACCATAATACAATGCCACCACACTTTCCACAGGGATTCAGAATTCAACACCAGGCTGTATTTGGTCCGTACGTACCAAGTTGGTTGGCTGGAGGTGGAGACAGGGAGGAGTTTGAATCAGAAGCACTTAACAAGGTTTGCCTGCATGGGGTGAATGGTTTCTTATAATTAAAAGAGGCTGGCATTTAATCTCTCTGTCTACTGTATGTTAAGGCAGTAGAATGGTATTGGAAGAAAATGCACAAGGCTGTAGCCAGAGCATTTTCAACTGATTTAATATCAACTTTAGGCACAGATCTCAGCTCCTTACCTTGGCTGTGATAGACTCTCTGTTTTCCTGCATGTTAGAAATGGCTTCAGCAATCCGGGTGTGAATGGTACCAATTACAGTGTCTACATTGGATGGTCCATCAAACCGGTCAGCCACCAGCAGCATAGAATCTAATAAAATAAGAGAGATGGAAACAGCCTTTAAGTACATACTATACAAATCAAATTATAGTATAACTTAAAATGTACATACTTTTATATTGGGAGGAATCAAGCATTTGCCCCTCAGTAGATGAAGGTGTTGAAGAACCTCTTTCAGGTACTTGTATTGTGTGTACATTTTCAGTAGTTTCACACTCTGAATTTGGCAGCATTCAAAATAAGGCCCAAATGCATCACTAAGGGCACCCCTAGTTCCAGATGAACACCATAGGGAAGAAACAGCTATTACAGCATCTCTTTGCAGACTGCCACTACCTTACAAAATGACCAGAGAGCACTGGGTGTTCTACAGACAGGAATCTGTGCAGAAATATAAAGCAAGGATCTTGACCTAACCCTCACTTACTGACTTGCATTCAACTTTCAACCAAGTGCTGCAATGAATAGAACTTTGGAGATGGTGGTGTTTACACAAAGTGCCCACAGACGGGTTTCATGAGTAATAGGCACATGTGTGTGGCTCCCATGCCCGGGACGGAGAAAAAAAAATTCCTCCCAGTGAATATTTCCCAAGCACCATTTTGGATTTGAGTGCTCTGGCAGGATAAAGCATGACCAGCAAGGGAAAATGTCTACCTCACCTGTGGAGCAATAGAGCACAACACATGCAACTAAACTGGTAAGAGGGGAGGAGAAGTGGGTGAGGGGTGGGTGAAAGGTGCTCGGTGCTCTAAGCTGCTATTGATTTCAGCACCTCACAAGCTCTGGAGCTGAAATGACAATGGATCAGAGCACCATTCATCCATGTTCTAGAGGTTATTTACTGGATTTATGCCTTGCTGGATTTTACTAGCAACACAAGCTAATGCAGAAGGAAATTTTATATATGTGCAAGGTACTAGAGAACTACAAAAGAACATAGTGTGCATACAGGCTGATATCCTGAATGTCCAGAGAGACCAGAAACAAACAAGACCGTAGAGGTTAAAGGAATGGATTAAAAATGGGACTGTTTGTACACTGCCACCTGCAGGTTCATAACTACTGAAAACTGCCATCAAGTTCAGATTCTTCTTTTGAGAATTGCAGTGCGAAGTCTCCTCTTGATGTCTTTGTCTTTACTAAGAGATGCCACTCAGCTTCCTAGAAATGCAGCCCCTGCTCTATAAACACTGTATTGGCCTCTATGTTTATTTCATTGTATAGATCTGTGAGTGGAGTATAGCGGCACAAGAGTGAGTGGATTATCAGCACTGGATGGCTTGACAAAAGCTTAGGTTAGTATGAGCCATGCACGCTCTCCCTTATTCCACCCCGTGCATGATCTGCCAATGCATCTCAACCCAGTTCTACTATATCCACTGCTTTCCAAAGCAAGCCCCCTGCACCGCTAGTTCTGCCACTGCATCTAAATCTTGAACTGCAATCCTTCCACTCTGCTATTTCCTCTATTGAGTGCTCCAAAACAATAAATGGGATGACTCCAACACTGAGTCACACACCAAAACGCTACACATCCAGTACACAGGAAGAGATCGTGGTGTAAGTGAAGAATCCTGAGGTTTCTAATGAATCCTGTGCAGTGAATCATACTACAGATAGACTTAACAGTAATGTCAATCAGCATTGCTTTTATTTTTAACCACAGAGTTTGACATAAAAATATCTTAACCACCTATTGGGTATTGGCACCTGTACTGATTTCAATGCACTTTTGCTTAACAAATAACCTAGACCACTAAATTGGATAAAATCAGATTGTGGAGGGAAATGGATGGTGTTAATAAAATGCTTGGAAGCCCTGCTATCTGCCCATACAGAAAAATGATCTGTCTGCTCTAAGCTGTTTTTTCTTCCCAATATATAGAGGGTCAAATCCTGAGGGCCTAAACTCAAGGAAGCTACCATTCACTTCAATGGGACTGAGCAAGTTCTATTCTAGTTCTTCTACTCTACCCATCAGTTGGTACCCAGACTGCTCTCAGGGGGTGGTGTGGTATGGTACAAAGGCTTACTCAGCTTGAGTATGTATTGCCAGCGTTCTTCACTCCGCACCCTCATGCATTCTGTACCTGTCACATGTTTCATAGTGTGATTGTTTTACAGAACTTACATTTATTTCTATTAGTACTACTTTCTGTGTCTTTAACCTGCAAAACCAGGCTCCATTATACCAGCACCAAGAGTCCAACTGTACAGGGCTCAAAGAAGGAACAATTAATGCTTTTTATAGAAACGAATCTGGGCCTGATCCAAAACTCACTGAAATCAATGGGACAACTCCCATTGACTTCAAAGGGCTTGGGATGAGGCTCTTTCAGACACACACAACATATGGTGTCCCTAGCCTCTCTTTGTCAGAAGCTGGGAATGGGCAACAGGGGATGGATCACTTGGCAAGTGCCTGTTCTGTTCATTCCCTCTGGGGCATCTGGCATTGGCCACTGTCGAAAGACAGGATACTGGGCTGGATGGACCTTTGGTCCGAGCCAGTATGGTGGTTCTTATGTTATGTTCTTATGGGGGTAATGTCCATAATAAAGGGCTTGATCTAAAGTTCAATGCAATTGGTTTAATAACACACACAACTCAGCTGACAATATTCTCTATATTGTACTATCTAATGTTTATATTATGGTAGCTCCTAGAGGCCCGCCAGGCTGGGGTCCCATTGTGCTAGGCACTGCACAAACATACAGAAAACACAGGCCGTGCCCCAACGTGCTTACAGGCTAAAAGACATGACACAGGCTGATGAGACAAACAAGCAGGCCAGAGCAGAGGGTAACAAAAATAACAGACTCTGCTCTAATCTTACCCAATGACTCAGGAGCAAGGATCACAAATTGCTACTTGCCCATGTCTACACTCTGGGATATGGCAGCTGCAAAGCCAGGGAGAGTTAGCTTGGGAGCATTTCTTGTTTATCATCAAATTAAAAGAACTGTTTTAGCTGTTTTTTAAACTTAATCAAGAACTGAAAAAATTACCATAGTTTCTCCATTAAAATGTTTTTGTATAGTAAAAGCCAACAGCTGCTTTGATGTAGAAAAATCAAACATGCCACACAATTGTGTAATGGCTTTTTGGTATTTTCTGCCCCAGCTGCAATATTAAGGATCTGAAGTTTAACTCCTGCTCCTGTTTAGGAGTAGTAAAAGATTTTTCAAGAAAACTTTTCTGAACAATTTTAGCTTGTGGATGCATTAATTCTGGGGACACATATTGATAGATGAAAAGAAATCCCCAAAGTTATTGATAAAATTCAATCACTTGCTGTAAATCATCTCCCTTAACTTGACCTGTCCTACTCTGCCCATATAATACAGTAGGTACATGTTTGTCATTACAATTTCACCTTCAACTACGAACAATGGGGTAAGAGTGAAGGTTGCAGAGTGGCAGTGAATTTCCACCCTTTGTTAAACATCCCAGCTATGTGACTTGCTTGAATTATGACCTTTAACATTACAGCGTGCAAGTATACTTTGAATACCGATCTGCTTTACTCCTAATGGTCAGCTACTGTCAAAAACAGTGTCTCTTGGGCAAGAAGAACCTGGAACAAGTGCAAAAAGCATACAGAAATGCCACCTAATCTATCAATTAGACTTGCAGATTGACCTTTCAGGAATGGTGGCCAATCATTCTGCTGGGGCGAGATGGAGAGCAATGACAGGTAACAATTGGCTTGTCCTTGTCAGAAAGGCTAATGCACAAACTCAAGGTTTAAACTGAAGGTTTAAACCCAGGAGCAGATGTTATCTCCTCTCCCCCACTCCTTTTAACCAGACTCGCTAACCATTTTACTGGATTCACTTCCAATTAGTTGTGGTAACCTGCCATCTGGGTCATTAGAAATGAAAGCTAATTAGCATAAACTAATATGGATAAAAGCCGGCTGATGCATCATATGTAACAACAGCCTAAATTAATCTGAGCAGTGATTCAACTTTTACTTTGCAACATTTCACTGAAACAAAGAGACATGGCCTGAATGTGTGTTTTAACAATAATAGGCAGTAATATTGAGTAGAAAGACAGCTGAACTGTAAGAACAAGACAGCCGACAACAAAATACAGTTCTGTGAGTGCATAAAAGGAAGGAAGAAGAGTAAAAAATCTAGTTAAATGGACTGTGTTGAAATTCATACGAAAGATCTTACTTATCATGTGCTATAATGATGGGCTACCATGATACTTTCCCTTCTTGAACTTACTTTATTTTGCTCTAAATCTGCTAGCTCAGACAGGTCCCAATCCAGCAATGAGCTGTGTGTGGACGGCTCCCTCCACACAATGGAACTCTGCACAGAAGGGTATGGCTAATGGCTAGAGTAGATGACTGGAGGCTCTGTCAGACTATGTAGTGTGCTCTGGCATGGATGCACCTCCGTTCTCCATGGGGATATCCCACATTGAGTGCCTTCTGGTGACACTGTCTGGCCACTGATACCCATTGCCTCGCCTTTCACTGGAATGACTGGCCCTACTACATGGAGTTGAAGAAAAAGAAAGGGATTTTTAAATTTATCCTCTCTGTATTCTTAGAAGTTAGGAGAGATCTTGCTTCCTGCTCTCGAAAGGAACCGGCTGAAAAAGTCAGGGGCATCAGAAGGTTGCTGTACTAGGTGGATTTTTGACCCTGGGGCTGGCATATGAGTCCCTCAGTGGGTTAAAAATTCTTGAGTGCTAAGGGTTTTCAGCATGACGTACTGGCAGCACGAGGCCCAGGAGTGCAAATCCTGCCCTTTAGAGAAGCAGAGTTATAAGGCAGTTAGCAGAAAGTGCCCTGAGAGCAAGAGGAGTTGTGTGGCTGGATGCACACAGGGCCAGTTTTTTCAAAAATAGGCTCCTACGCCTTGCCCTATGCCCAGAAGGCAACAAACAAGGGCTCTAGAGAAATGACTTCCAGAGCCCATGACCCCTTCAGTCCTGTTGCCAGCTCCTTCCCTTTTAAACCAAGGGGCTTCTCATTTGAGTGCTTCAGCTGTGTTTAGTTACCATGGGGCCACATAAGGAGAGGGCAAACTCTCACACAGCCAGGACCCAAACCAGGTAGGGCTTTCTGGTCAAAAACAAAACCGTGGCTTGGACCCCCTCCCCCGCTAAATAACCTGGCAGCCAGCCCTGACTAGAGAGCACAGGGCTAATGCCTGCCCTGCAAGGATCATCATTAGCTAAGCAGGCTGCGGCCTTCTGAAAAATGAGATGTTTGTGACGAGCTTTCAGGTGTAGCTAAGCCCCATGATGAGTACAGTGCCATAACCTATGGTGGAGTGACACAACCAAGGACACAAAATCATTCCATTTATAGCTATATTGGAGAATTACAACTGGCGGATAGCAGAACTAAAACATCTTTGAAATGAAAAGAAAATGTATTTTTAAAAAATAACTTTCAGCTAATGGTCTGTTAAGGCGGAAAAAAAAAGCCTGAATCCCAATTTGTGAGTGTTCATTATTATGGTCACATTGCCTATTACCTTATATTTATCTCCATTACGTTTCATTTCCCTGGTGTTAAACCAGTTATGCTGAAAATAAAAATCTCCTGGATGTACTAAGCTGCTTGCACCGTGCTTATTCACCGCTCAGCCCCACTTATATGTAATCAGTTAGTTTATCTGCAGATGCTGTCCTTGGGCTTATTTGTGAAAGTCAATTAGGAACAGCAAGGGGTCCTCTGACTTCCCACAGAGCTCCATTACTTCCAGTTGCAAGCGATACACAGATTCTGCGCCCTCCTCTCCCCCTCACCCTGCACACTCTGGCACTTCCCGGAATCCTTATAGTTCACATTTAAAGCAGCAGTTTTTTATCACAGGCTTTCTGAAAATCCACTTTAATTATATACATTTTATAACTTTCCAAAAGAGATGCTCTGGCTCAGCCAGCAGGTATGGGCTAGAGGCAGGAATCACTGGGTGAGGTTCTTTAGCCTGCATTATGCAGGAGGTCAGTCTTGATCATAATGGCTCTTTCTGGCCTTAAAATCTGCGAATCATACCCTTAGGTAGACATACAGTCCACTTCATTGCAACAAGGCTCGTCACCTCCACAAAATGAAAGATGCAGGATCTTCGTGGTGACTGCTGACCCATCACCTGATCGAGAAGGGTTTATAGTTTTGGCTACCATATAATTCCTTTGCTAAGCCTTTTTAACACAAGTTATGAAAGCTGTAACAGCAAGAAGGAGAACAAATAACTGAGTTATTAGGTTTGTTATGATTACAGACCTTTTGTATGAGCATGTGTCCTTGAGGGAGTACTAATGCTAAAGGCTGGGATTTAGCTGAAGAGTGTAGGCCTCAAGAAATAACCACAGGTCAGATATTTTGCACTCTCCTTCTAAGAGACAAATGAGTAACCCCACAAACAGGTACAGTAAGCTACAGGATTCCACAAGAAGGGAGCTTTAGAGGGCTTTGGCAATTATGTTGCTATGGAGTATTAAGCAGTTAGATCTCATTTACGTATCGAAATTATTAAGAAATAAGTGAGGTACATCATGAATATTAATGCTTGATATTTAATTATGGATATCCTAAAGGCCTCATATGGATAGGGGCTGTTAATGATCTTATTATAATCAGGATAAAGGAGCAAATATGGTATATATCTGTACTACCACCATAAGGAAGGGTATAAAATACCACACCCCGTTCCCATTTCTGTGGGTTCATCCGGTCCCCGAGGCAGTGTAAATGGAATCAGAACCTCCTTTCTGATGGGTTACACTTACTTACCCTTCTGTTTTTGTTTCCAGTGGTCTCGATAAGTTGTAAATATACACAATGCAAGACTGTAAGTATAAACAATATAGGAAACTACTTAACCGCACTTATCTTAGTCATATAGTTGTACATATTGATCCTTTCCTATGATTCCAATTATAGTTGTCTGTACTAAATAAAGTTTGTGTGTGTGCGTTTCACCAAATTACGTCTTGTCAATTAACTTTAAACAGCCACCTAGGAAAAGAACCTGTTATCTGTGACAAGTGCATATTGCATGCCAATACGTAATCTGGTAAGTGCTCAGGCTACATTCCCTGATTGATTTCATTCTAGTTTTCTCCTAGTGTTGATTTTTTTGCTTTGCTGCTGAACTTGACCCCGCCTCCTCCACCATGGCATTTGTGTTTAAATGTAAAGCAAATGAGCTTTATTTTCCTTTATATACGAGTCTTATTCCTCCAAACTCCATCCGACCCTTTTTGTTTTGAAGGAGCATTGTCAGGGTTGAAAGTCCTCAATTCTGACTCCTCTGTAGCCCATGGAAACAATTGTATTACTTTTCATTTCTACAGCACCTTCCACAGGAGGATCTAAAAGCGCTTTCCAATTTAATTTAGTTTACCCTTGGTACTCCTGGAGGACAGTACCACTCAGCCAGAATAAGGGTGGTAGAATCTGGCCCTAAGCCTCAAGAGGTGGGAAGGGCACAAGAATTAATTGAGTTGTTTTAATTGGTTTAATTGGAAAGAGTGTAGGGGTCCTGCCAGCCCAGTGCAGAAGAAGCAATCTAAAGCGACAGGATTAGCCAGTGTAGCACATTCTGTGTAGTGATCTGACTGAGCCCATTACTCAAACACAGTAAAATGTCTTTCCAGTCCTTTTACAGTCCAGCTCTGAGGCAGAGAAATTTTAGCGTAAAAGGGTCTTACGGCCCTTTCAACTGTTCTAATGACACTTTATTCATTCTCTAATCCCCGTCTCACAAAGACTGAATATGAACTTTGGGGTGTGCGGGAGGACTATGACAGAAACTCAACAGTTTTATTGGCACATAACTAGCTCTTCTTACCAATCAGGTTCCTCCATTCCGTGTCCAGGTCTGCTTGATTGGCCAGGCAGCCCTTCATGACGTTGTGACAGTAGTTGTTGCATGGCTTCACACTAGACATGCCCCGGCAATACGGACAGTACACCAGCTTCATTATGGCACGAGTGCACTCATGGCTAAGAGACACCTAAAAGAGGTGGAAGGGCAATTATTAATTATGGAAACAAGTGAAAGACTCTCATTAAACAGGAAATTATACAGTGCATTATTTTAAAGCCCTAGTCAGATAGATTAAATTACACTGAGCTAAATTCATGCCCCATGTAACTAAATCATTTAAAATGTTTTGTGATGCAGTGGACAGGACTCTGGATTGAGGCAGGAGTTTATTTTGGGTTGTGCCACTGACCTGTTGTGTGTCCTTGGGCAAGTCACTTTGTCATTCGGTACCTCTGTTTCCCCTCCCACCCTTCATCTCCCTTGTCTATTTAGACTGTAAGCTCTTCCAGTCTCTTTTTAGACAGTCTTTAGACTGTCTCTCACCATGTATGTCTTAATCGCACCCTGTGATTACAGCATAAACCTACCCACTATATATTTGTGCAGTACTTAGCACAACGAGGCCCTAAGCTCGACTGGGGCTTCTATGCACTACCATAATGCAGATACAGATGATGATAAAACCAAAGTAGCAAAATAAGTGAATTTATATAGAGATGAAAATATTAGCTAATGGGATGGAATACAAAAATATACCAAAGAGCACATTAAATAATAAAATTATTATGACTGTATTATGACTCATTTAGAGAAGTTCACAATACATGTTACAGCACTTTAGCAGCGATATTACATTCCTATTCCTTCCTTGAGTATCTGCAGGGTGGGCCCTTTCACAACCAGTGAGAGCCAGTTTTACTAACCTGGCTCTCTCTATCCTTTCTGTTTTCACTGTCCCTGTGTCATGACTGTGACCTGTAATTCTGCAACACTGTCACACTGTAACTCCTGCACCGGGAGAGTCTTTTATAAGCATCAGCAGGTTATTTTGTTAGGTAAGTGTCTTGTTTCAACCATCTGGCAGATGTGGATAGCCACAAGCTTCCTCCATGAACTTATATTTACTGCACTGACAGTTTGCTCCTGAAATGTGAACTGCCTCTTATGCGAGGCTGATCCCATGGGGGAGCCTGAACATTACAGGCATTCTGCTGGGGGCATAGGAAAGGAAGGTGGGGTGAAGAGCTTGCGAGGGTGATCCAAAGGGTCAGCCTGAACCATTTTGAAAATACCTGCAATTTGGGGTACTCGAAAGGTTTAAAGAAATTGCACTTGTAACATATTTTTGTGAGCCTCAGGGATAAACCATTTCTGGAAGGGATGGCTAACCAGCATCCCGACACGGGAGAAGGGGCTGATCAGCATTAGAGGAAGGGAAAGCCTCCAGCTATAATTTGGTGCAGAACCAGATCAAGAAGCTCCTGAGAGCTCCCTGAAGAACACTCCCCTCCAACCCACTACTACAGTGCTGTGCTGCAAGCATTAGCTCAAATAGGACTCTGGCAAACTTGGCCAGTCTATAATATTAACTAGCACACCAATTTTTTTGGCCAATATCCATTTGCAATTTCCTTGTTAGGTGATTTAAAAGAAATGACTTAATGTTCCTTTTTCAACCAATCAATCAAATGCCAGTAGCTTAGCACTCATGAGAAATTATGCAATAGCAAGAACAAACAAGTGTGATGGACGGGGGAATGCTCTGTCTTGAAAGAGATCCAAGTTGCAAGATTCAGTTTCCTTTTAAGCTTGCTGTGGTCCAAGAATAAGCAATACCGAGGCAGCTTTAGCATGCTCCCACTCTTCTGAGCCCACTGTTAGAGGTCCAGAGATAAAATCCCTAAGGTTTGTCTTCCTCAAACACTCTTCTCTATAGCCCTTTATTTTTAGTACGCCTTGAAAAGGATGTCTCCACTCTGCTGGGTTTTTATTTTGAAGGAATGAATTAAAGGACCGCATGAGAAGTCTTCCTGAGGTTCAGATACCGTACAGACATCCCAGAACTGCTCCCCATGTTAAAAGTTAGAAGTAGGAGGTTTCAATTTCTTTGGTTTCTATAAAAAGAAGTTTCTAAACCTCAGAAAACTGATGGGATAATGTAGAAAAATTCTCTCTCTGTACACAACAAATATCCACAGAAAGACCTGAGCCCAAATCCACTAAGGACTTAGTCATTGCACCTAACTTTTAGGTGCCCGGTCACTTTGGCTACATGTCCACAGGGATAAAATACCCTCTACCCTGGCAGGATCCCGGAGCTTGGGCTCCAACCCAAGCCCCAACATCTACACGGTGATTTTTCAGCCTTGGAGCCTGAGCCCTGCGAGCCCAAGTCAGCTGACTCAGGCCAGCTGTGGGTTTGTTATCCCTATGTTGACATAGTCCCAGTGGAATCCACAAACCCTGGGTGAGGCTCTTCGGCTCCCTATACTATGCATGGGAACAGATTGCTGCCTGAGAATGGGATCCACAAAAGCCAGCTCACTAGGCAGGGAGTTGCCTAAACTAGCCAACGGGAGATGATGACAAGAGGTGTGAGTCCTATGCCCGGCCACTCCCATGGAGTTAGGCGCTTAGTCCGGGCTGGAGGGAGGCACCTATCTCGCTTGGGATCCATAGCTAGGAACCCTCGTCTAGAGTCAGGTGCCTAAGCGGTTTCTTGGCAGAACAGGAGCAGGACGTACCTGGCACCACACAAAACGACTGGAGGGAGGAGACAGCCTCCCTTATAACCTCTTGCCCAGTGGTCAGGGAACTCACCCCAGAGGCAGGTTCAGTTCCCCATTCTGCCTGGTGACTACAGCGTCATTCTCACTCTTGCTGGCCCAATATATATTTTAGTTATTTATACCAAGTGGAATGGCTTCAACAGAGGGACAAACATCAGACTATCCCCTAGTTCATTGGTTAGGGCACTCACTTGAGAGGTAGGGGAAGCCAGTTCAAATCCCTTCTCATGAGGCAGAGGTGGGAACTGAAGTGGGTTCTCTCACATCCTGGGTGAGTTCCCTAAGAACGGGTCTGAAAACGATAAAGGTAGCTTCCTTTCTCCTCCACCCCCCAGCTGTTTTCTGCAAAATTACATGTGGCCGGAGCATGCCTACCAGATCGGGCCCTGCAAGCGACACAGGCAATGTCTTCTCCTGGTTTCAGGATCATTCTAGGGTTCAGTTGGGGGTCCGGGTGGCTGCCTGAGGCAGCAGTGCACATGCCTAGAGACAGAAACTTAGGTGCCTTGGGGACTTTTTACAGTGAACATTTAGGCACCAAATGAGTTTCGTCAACTACAGGACACCTGTGATTGCAGTGGTGCCTAAACCTAAGTCCCTTTGTGGATCTGGGCCCTAATGTTTTAACTCTGCCAGATAAAGTACATACTACCTGCCACAGAAATACTAAAACCTAGTGTGACCAGGTGTTCCCAAACACCTCATCCCCAGCCCCAGCCCAGAGTCTGCACCCCCAGCCAGAGCCCTCCCCCCCCCATACCCCCAACCTCTGCCCCAGACCAGAGCCCCCTCCTGCACTCTGAACCCCTCAGCCCCAGTCTGGAGCCCCCTTCTGCACCCCAAACCCCTCATCTCTGGCCCCACCCCAGAGCCCTCACCCCCTGTCGCATCCCAACCCACTGCCTCAGCCTGGAGCCCACTCCTGCACTCTGGACTCCTCATTTCTGACCCCACCCTAGAGCCCACATCCAGAGCCCTCATCCTCTCCTGCACCCCAGCCCCCTGAGACAGCCCAGTGAAAATGAGCGAGTGGGTGAGGGTGCGGAGAGTGAATGACAGAGGGAGTGGGGATGGAGTGAGCAGGGGTGGGGCCTCGGAGAAGGGGTGGGGCATGGGCGGGGCATTGGAAGAGTGGCGGGGCAGCAGGCAGGGCAAGGGTGTTCGGTTTTATGAGAGTAGAAAGTTGGCAACTCTACTAAGACCTCAACCTTGAAGAAAACTGCAAAAGTTTAAAAGCTTTGCTCTCTCTTTTAAAAGAGCTTCTTCTTTTGTTACCACAGCAAACACACACACAAACAGAACCAAAGGGGTAAAATTAGTGCACTCATTCTTCAAATCCCTGCTACAAGGTACTAAAAGGCGTATTTAATCACTGGGATTAAATTGGTTTAAAAAGTGTAATGCTCCCTTCGCACCAGCAGGTGGAGCTTTTACCCTACTCAAGTAACAGATGAGGAAAAGTTTGAGAGACAAACCAAAACTCCATCCACCACTTATTAACCTAAGACAACAACAAGGTACAATGAAAATATCATTTAAAATGTAAGATTTTCTTATGAAACACAGGACTTGAATAAAATGCACCGAATGTTAAATGCGGGGACAACAGTTAAGAGTAGATGAAATATAAATGCATGCTAGAAATAGCTAACACCAGCCAGAAGCAGACTATTCAACTTGAAATACTGGAAATTCAGTCTGGAAGGGAGTGCTACTTTTTCTTCTAACGAGCCTTCACCAGAGCTGTACTGTGAAAATCCAGTATAAGAATTAAACTTGCATGCTTGTGAATGCTTACAAGAAAGTACTGAGGAGAACTTTGCTATTTTTCCAGACCTGCAGAAGAGCTCTGTGGAGTTTGAAGGTTTGTCCCTTTCACTAACAGAAGTTCTACAACAGAAGATATTACCTCACCCACCTTGTCTCTCTGATTACTTAACTTACTCATGGATATTTTTCTTTTCAAAGTGAATTTAATGCTCACAAAGCCAGTGGAGACAGACATACCCCCCGTCCCAGGACAGCCCCAGCAGGGGCAGCAACTCTATAGTCTCCAGGATGCTCTGCCTCTACACAGATTTGATAAGACCATCTGTGTGTGAGGATAGTTAATGCTCCGTGCTAGTCACTCCATGTCCTTGCTGCCAAAATTAGCCAACAAGAGTGCAACTATTGTTATTTCCTGTGATGTAATCCACTGTCCTGCAACCGGCCTCCTATAGGCCACTCAACAGCTGTCAGAGGGTCATAGCTTGGCTAGCCAGCTAACCATCCTAAAAAAGCAACTGCTTGCTTACTGTTCACATCTGTCTTTGGATGGCCGTTTCAGATGATGTACTAGGCACAAAGAACACTGCCTGGAGTTTCGAGCTAAGCTCCTGAGAGTTGGAAAAAAACT